TATATTTAGAACTAATCAAATCTTCAACTAGTTCTTATATTAAATACCGAAACTAATAAACACTAGTTAGTAGAACTTTACTTTTTTATACATATCAAATTTAAAAGGTTACTTTCGCTTGATGGTTGAACGTTCAAATCAAATCTCAATGAAGCACGCAGGACAAGCACAGGAAGAGAAGCCGGACACGTAGTAATTGGCCGTGGATGGTCACCCGATTTTTCATATTTAAAGAAAAAGAAAAAAGAAATCTGAACATTGTACATTGCCTAATTATTTTATATATTTGTGGAATGAACAAGGAGACTTGGTCACAGTCTCTCGCTGTGACAGTATCTGTGAAACTTTTAGTTTAGAAAAATGCAAATAAAGGAGGAGCACTCCGTAGTCATCTTTTTATGGAGGGAGGAGGAACTCCCAACTTGCATCCCCGGCTTAACATTTGCACGTCCAAATCATATTTGCATAATACAATTGCAATTTCCACATGCACTTTTCATATCTCGCCTTAGAGATAAGGTATGTAATTCTAATATTTTATCGGAATCAATAAAAAGCTTAAACTTTGTTAAATCCATCTTAAAATTTAGTAATTTTTACTCTAATCCTTTTTATAAGTTGGGGAAAAAAGAATTTTTAATACTCCCTCCGTTCCTCATTATAAGAAACAAACAACCAAATTACATTGATAAAAAAAAATAGTTAAAATTAGTTGAGGACAATTAATGTGTAAAAAATATAATATTTTTTCAACAATGCCCCCATTAATAAGGAGAAAGAGTATGAGAGAGAACAATTAAATTATTAAAAGAAAGAGAAGTTGGAGGGAGAGAGAGTATAAGTTGGAAACAAAATAAATAGGAGTAAAATAGAAAATCAATACAAAAAAATAGAGACAACTTTTAAGTGTCTCTTATATATGAGAACATGCTATAAGCATCAAATGTCTCTTATAATAAGGAACGAAGGGAGTATTACTTATAAGTTACATCATTAAATTTTTTACATAAATATTAAAATTAAAAAGTTATTAAATTTTAAGACAGAAGTAATAGGATTTAAGATTTTCCTGGTTTCTATAAAAGTATACCTTAATAGCTTGTTCCCATGAATAATAGATGAAGGAGGCAAGTGTGCATTCATGTGAAAAATTTAATAATGTGACTTATAAATAGGACAAAAAAAAAAATATTCTCTCTACCTTATAAATAGAATTGCAAGAGTGTAGTTAACTAACAATGAACATTCAATTCTTAATTTCCTAATCTTATGTTCATCTCTAGTTTTTCCAGTATACTAAAAACTGGATTGACTGATTGATAGGGGAGGTAAGCTTAGATTGAAATTTTATGTAGATGCATGAAGGATTAAAGTTTGAGTCTAAATTTTGTAGAAAACAACTGTAATGCCGCCATTGGAAAACAGATGCGCGGAAGTAAAATCTGACCAGTCACCAAAAACTGGAAAATATGATCTAAATCATACTACCTCCAATCCTTAATATAAGATCTAACTAATTAATTTGGAAAGATTCAAAAAGTTACTAAACTACTTAATATAGCATGTGTTACATAAATTTTGTAAAATACTTATGTGTGTTATTAGATTATATATTAATTTATAAGTGAGACCAATTAGTTATAAGAGAAAAATGATAAATATAAATACTTTAGAATAATTAGTTTAGTAACTTCATTAATTTTCTCAAATTAACCAACCAGATCTTCTATATAAGGACCGGAGGTAGTATTTTGTAGTTTCTTATTCTAGTCACTTATGAAAATCTTGTGGTAGCTAATTGGAATGCAAGTTAGTATTGGCCATCCCATTCTCCTGTTTGAAGAAAAACATGATTAAAACTTCAATTTGGGGAGCATTCATTGCCTAATTCTGGAGTGGAATTAATGAACGAGTATGACACCTATTGGTCAACGTGTCCCTCACTTCTGCCGTGCCTGTGAAACTTAAATGACTTGCCGTGTCATGCCATGCAACCAAGTCTTCGTCAATGTCTCCTAAGAAGTCGAAGATAGAGATATAGTCCCGAAGACTTTGACTTGTCCAGGTCTTCTTTTATACCTGGTCAAAAAAAGAAAGTCTTCTTTTATAATTGCAGATATGCTTTATCTTCAAGCTAGCTCTTGATGCTTAATGAGATGCCATGCCATGGGCAACCAAATCTTCGTTAATGTCTTCTTAATAGTCGAAGTAAGTAGAGATAATACTGGATGGGGAAAAATTTAGGGAAAATAACAAAAAAATATCCGTTAAATTTTAAAAAACAAATAGGTGAATAATGGAGGCTTTGAAGAGTCTAAAATAACTATAAAATATCCAAATTAATTTCACAATTATTATGTGGTGATAATAGTCCAACCTATTCAGGCCCCACCGAGGGAGATATTAGGGATGCAAATATCTTCTAATGTAGGATGATGAATATAAATCCCCAAGACTTTGATTTGTCCAAGTCTTCTCTTATAATGTGTAGCGTTTGTAGCCCCATATATCCCTTGTCGGCACTAGGTGAAATAATTTATTTTAGTTAATTAGTGTATCTGGGACATAAAATTGTTAATAAAATCTTAAATTATTAAAAAAATAAATAACTAATTTTAAATCAGTTTAAAATGACTGACATGTAATTTTTTATTTTGTCTTGACTTATATAAAAAGAAATTATATATGCTTATAATCATGAAATGACCCACCTGCTTGGAATCATACAACTAAAAACACAAGTAATAAAAGTCAAATCCTAGGTACTAAATTGTCCGAACACAGAATAGATATGTTCATATTATAACTACCTTGTCTGTATATTAGCTTTCCTGATCATATCAGACTGCGCAGAATCATCACCATCGTATACTAAGTAGTGATTAAACGATGGGTAATGCATTGCTTTTGAAACTGGCATTATTATCATCGGCCTTCGCACTGGCCGCGGCGGTGACGGCGGCGGCAGATTGCAAAAGAAAGTGCGGGAACGTGGACATCCCTTATCCCTTCGGCATGACGAAGGACTGCTTCAAAGACCCTGATTTTGAAATAATCTGCAACTCTTCCTCTGGACAGCATATTCCACAACTAGCAAGAGGGGAAAACGACACCGTGCAGGTTCTCAGCATCTCTGGGAACAGTAGTGAGATTCTTGTCTCTATGCCTGCTTATAATGTTTGCTACAATCCCCAAGATGGCTATAATATGTGGAGGCGTGGTTTTTGGGTGCCCTCAAGTTTGGCATCTCCAATACAAAGAACAAATTCAGGGTAGTGGGGTGTAATACCTATGCTTTCCTGTATGACCGGAAAGAAAAAAACCTTAACGGCTGCGACGCGAGATGCGATAACCGGAGTTCAGTGGCGGATAATAATAAATTCTGCTCCGGCGCCGGCGGCTGTGGCCACTGCAAGAGTGATTTGGAGCAAGCCGTTGCAAATTATACCATTACTGTTGTATTTTACCGTAGTAGCGAGCAAAATGCGCCCGAGAACATTACTCGTTGCAGTTCTGCATTTGTTGAGCAGAACGGAACTTTCAACTTCCCTCTCGTCGACGGCGACCTCAAGAAGGGAAGAGAAGGTAACAGATCTACGGTAATTCTCGATTGGGCAGTTGATAAGAAAAGATCATGCGGTGGAGCCTGCAAAAGTCATAATGCGGAATGCAAACAATCAGAAAGTGTCAGGGGCTATTACTACTGCAAATGTAAAACAGGTTTCGAAGGCAACCCCTACACCGCCGATGGCTGCAAAGGTAATTACGATAATTTTGAGGTTTCAACCCCACACTTTTTGATTTTTTTTTAATGATTTTCTTGGGGCTGAAATAGATCTCTCATTTTAAACCTCTTTTCTTTTATTTTATTTAGAAGTAATTTTGTGGAACACAAGACGGGGCAATTATACGAGGGGGTTTTATTTCGATTTATATGAAACTATTAAGTACCTGCGGAGTTTTAAGCCTCTAATACCCTATGGATTTCGGTAAATTCTTTTGGCTTCTCAAATATTTTTCTTCTTGTCTTTAAAATGAATCAAATCTTTTGTGATCTAACGGGTGGTGGGCACAAATCCCATTTTCACAGCCTTGGCCTAAAAAAATCCAGAGAACACAAAGCCAATCTACCGACCAGTTCAACTGGGAAACCAGTAAACCAGCCAGTGGGTCTGGTTTGTTTGGATATTAAATCGGGGGAGTTGAATTGTAACGAATCGGTCAAACCGAAATGAACTGGTGAAAATCGACGTAAACCGGTTTGGATGATTGTATTGTTATTGATCTTATTTTTTTTCATCCAACTCCTAATATCTTAGCCCCTATATATTTAAATGAATTTTAATGATAATTTTGGCATTAATGATTATGAATTTTAGTTAGTGAAAAACCATAAAAATCAAAATTTTCAATATTGTTATACTTTGTTATTATTACAATCAAACTATTGTTATATTTTCTTATATTTTGTTATTAGTGATTATTAATGTTGTTATACTTTTGTTATTTTCAATTAAATTATATCATTTTAATATGACCGGTTGGACTCCAAGGTAATCCCGATCTGACCAACTGATCTTTTAACCACTACCTCCACTTGTTTAACAATCGGTCTGGTTTTTATTTCTTGAAAGAATCATAATAAGCTCTAGCACAACGATAGTGACGGTGTTTTCTTTGCTTTTGCTTTTTTAAAGTAAATAGTTAACAATATTGTAAAAGCACAAACATTTCAAAAGTTCGCTTTAACCAGAAATATTGATTTGAGAAGAAATTAACCAGTGCTATAAGATTTTTTTTCACATGATTTGTGGTACGATGTGTACGGAATTTCAGATGTGGATGAGTGCCAGGACATCAACTTAAATAATTGCTTGCATGAGGATAGTTGTCGTAACACCCATGGGGGCTACACCTGCTCCTGTCCGCATGGACAAAAGGGCAATGGCCGCAACGAAACTGAACCAGGCTCAGGCTGCAGCCCTACTGGGCCAAGCCTTACAATTCCATTAGGTAAGCATTTGGATCTATTAAAAATTCCCTTTTTTTTTTTTTTAGTTTGACTTGATTTGGAATTGAATTGCCATATACTTTTTAAAATTAAATCCTAATAATTTTTTCAGTCATAGTCATTAATACTTTATCAAATCATTAGTCATGACCATTCCATCTAAAATTGATACTACACTATTATTTAGTTACGTGCATTTAAGGTATCAATCTACTTTATTTCCAAAATTTTAACTTTTTTAAATTATTTTCATTAATTGCAAATATATTAAAGAGCAGCTTTGAATGAAAAAAATTTAAAGATATGCTTTAAAATAACTAAGTCAACCAAAATAATTTTTTAATAATGTAAATTATTATTAAGTTTCTACACCAAATAAATGTATTTATTGAACATTAAGCATAGGGAGAGTTGTCATGAGGTCCCAATGAGAAAATTTAAGTACCAAAAAATCACAATAACAAGTAATCAATATGAACCTGTTGTCATTTCTTGTCATAAAGCTTATCATTACATACTCTTCAATTAGCTATAGATTTTACGGTAATTAAATCTCTTTCTTGGGATCTAATTATAATTCTCTCTTAAATGTCTGTGTGTCTATATAAATATATATATCAATATTTTTATTTTTTTAGGACAAGCAGATACTAAACTTGAAAGTTTCCCCCTCTTACACATTGAACAAATTGTGTGTTTTTCTCAAATTAAATTGAAAAAATAACCCAAAAAAATGATACCAAATATAATTTAGTTTCTAATTTTAAAAGTAAACTATTTTCTAAAAATTTCAAATATTTTGTAAACGTAATGGGATAATAGTTTGTTTTAACTATATTCAATTGGACAAAATCTGTACCGCCATCTTTGCAGTTTATTTAGCATTTTGTGCTGGAGAAAATGATTAGACATGCGCATAGGACTGGCATCTTCACACTTTTTAAATCACATTTCGGAACTTCTTTCAAGAAAAACTCACATCTTGAACTCTATACTTGTAGTTGTTACTTTAGCTTTGCTGGGTGTCTTCACACTTGTCTCCACATTATGCTGGGCACACAAGCAAAGGAATCTGATGCAACTCAGACAGAGAAATTTTGAGCAAAATGGAGGAAACTTGCTTCTACAACAACTTTCACAACAACAAAGATATACCGACAGAACCAGAATATTTACAAAAGTTGAGCTTAAGAATGCCACAAACAACTTTGATGAAAGCAGAATTCTTGGTCGTGGAGGACAAGGCACAGTTTATAAAGGTATATTGCCAGACAACACAATTGTTGCAATTAAGAAGTCCAGGTTGGAGGGGATCCCCAAAATATTAAAAGTTTTATCAATGAAGTGTTTGTGCTTTCCCAAATCAACCACAGGCATGTGGTTAAACTTTTGGGATGTTGTCTTGAAACTGAAGTGCCTTTGTTAGTGTATGAGTTTGTAGAGAATGGAAGCCTTCTTGACCACCTAGACCCATCAAAAAATGAATGTTCTATCACATGGGAGACTCGATTAAGAATAGCTACAGAAACTGCTGAGGCCATTTCCTATTTACATTCTGCAGCTTCTATTCCAATTATCCATAGAGATATCAAGTCTGCCAATATACTTTTAGACCATAATGATAGAGCAAAGGTATCTGATTTTGGAGCTTCAAGACTTGTCCATCTTGGTGAAGCTCAAGTTGCCACTGTGGTTCAAGGAACAATAGGATATCTGGATCCTGAGTACCTTCAAACAGGTCAGTTGAATGAGAAGAGTGATGTCTATAGTTTTGGAATTGTGCTGCTGGAGTTACTCACTGGGAGTAAGGCTTTTAAATTCAATACATTGGCTAGCCATTTTGTATCTTCAATGAGAGAAGATCGCCTGTGGGAGATTCTTGATAGGCGAGTACTAGACCAAAGGAAGAACGCAAAACAGTTGAAAGAAGTAGCCTTATTGGCAAGCAGATGCGTTAGGGTTAATGGAGAGGAACGGCCAACAATGAAAGAAGTAGCAATGGAGTTAGAGGGTCTAATTGCAATGGAAAAGCATCTTCAGGAGAAGGACAAGGATATGATGAAAGCAGAAGAAAGTGAATACTTATTGGGCCATTGCCCTTATGATGGATATGGGGGTGCCAGTGCTAGCTTCTCAGTTGCTAGCTATGATAGCATACAAAAGCAAGTAGCATTTGAGATTATGGATAGTGGGCGATAATCTTATACTGTATTCTTAATTATGTGCTGTTTCTACTTTTTTGGGAGATTTAAGGAATGTGAGAGTACAACGGAAGGTGATAAGAACCTAACTAGTAATTTGTTTGCAGTTAGTTCCTATAAGTTGCAAATTTAATTTTCCTATATTTTATAATGTGTGTGTGGCTCTTGATACCTAGTCTCATAATCTACTCCTTGAGTTAAATAACTAATTTTGCAGAGAAATCAATAATATTAGTTAAGTTAGTTAAGTGTAAAAAATACATGTTGATTTTGTTAGAGTATATCTTTTAGCTATTTGTATTATAATTTACTCTCTTGATGAAAAACTCCTTCAATATGTATAATTAACTGAAATATTATATTGAGGGAAAAAAATCATCTGCCAACTCATTCACAATAGAAGAAAAATGATAGCTTCCGCTGGTTATATCATCCAACAAGGCTTCTTAGATCTTGTCGCATTATTTTTAGCACTTAGTTTAAATATAAATTATGCCATTTTGCAGGTTTTAAGGTCAAGGAAAAGAAAAAAAGAAAAAGAAAAACCCCCTTTGTTGCCCTCTTATTTTAAAGAAGTAAATATATAAAAAAGGAGAAATTCTTAGCTACTCCCAGAATACCAAATCATATTAACTCTGTCAAATAAGAACCCTCCACCTCATATAATTTTAACCCACGTCATCAACTCATACACATCAATTTGTTGTTTTACAATTACAATAATAAAAATTAATTTTCCTCTTTTGCCCCAGTTTCCTCTTTCCCCGTTTCTTTCTTCTCTCCTCATATATCTCATGTCTCTTTTCATTTTTTGGCCATCGATTGACAATGGGCATATCTCCACGGCCGCCGCGCTCTTACGAAATGCTCTGACTTAGCCAGAATGCTTCATCGAGAGGGATCAAGGTGGCTAATCGGAACTTTACCCCCTCCATGGCGCCGCGTGGTGCCGGTGAGTTCGTAGGTAATAGCAACGCCGACTCTGAAGAGAATGAATAGGGGGATGAGGATTTTGATAATAGAGATGAAGGAGACTATTTTGCCAACAAAAGTTATATAATGTTCTTGTTACCATGGTTGAGGAAGAAGGGAACAACACAGTCCGAGAGTATTCTAATAATTTGCCCAACATGTTGTGCCTTCTCCTCCACACTTGATGTTGTGCTACGAATCTGGATATGGTGCTAGGGCCGAAGGAAAAAGAGTTTGAGGCTTTGTTTGGTTCAACGGAAAGAGAGAGGATAGGTTAATTAAAGGAAGGGGAGGGAAAGAGAAGAGAAGTCGTGATTTTGTTTGGTTGGTGAAGAAGGAAGGGAGCAAATATTTTTTATTTGATTTATAAAAAAAGGAAGAGGAGGTAATTATAAATTAATAAATATGTCATCTCTATATTTAATTTATTTATTTTTTTATTATAATATTTATACCAAAATTATTATTTCTTAATTTATCAATTTAAATAAAAACAATTCCCTCACTTACATGTGATAAAAACATGATAAAACTAAAAATAATTAGAAAATATGATAAAAAAATTTAACATTCTATATCATTAATTTTATAAATATATCTATTAATATATATGATATGTATATATTAATATATATGCATGTTATCTGAGATTATAATACACACACTATGATATATAATTATAATACACATATGTAATGATATTTATATACTAATATATATGATATGTATATATTATATAATTATAATATTATATTATCATTATCAAATATTATTATTATTAGTGGTTAAAAAAAAGAAGTGAAAAAAAAATTTTAATAAGATAGACCAACTTGAAATATTGAAAAATTAGTATGGGTAGTTTGGTCAATGTTAAACATAATATTTTTTTTCTCCTCTAAAAAATCCTGAATTTAGAAGGGAGGATAGAGAGAAGAGGGGAGCACTAAAAAACAAATTTCTTCCTTTCCCTCCCTTCTATTTTTTCCAACCAAACACACTTATCTCCTTCCTTCTCCTCTTCATAATCCTCCAACCAAAGAGAGCCTGGGGTCTCTTGAAGGCAGAAGAGAGAGGGTTAATGGGTGTAAGTCGGATCACTCGTGCGTTGGTATTATATGAGGTGGAGAGTTCTCATTGGACAGAGTTGATATGATTTGGCACTTTGGGAGTATCTAAAAATTTCTCTAAACAAAGGGGTGATTCTATTTATTTCGTTTAAGAAATAATACTGGGAGATTCTAATAAACCAAACCCTCTAATATGTGACATTATGATTTAGAATTCTTAATTTAAAAAGTAAAAAATAAAAATCTGGTTTTATTGTCAACTTATTATTTAATATACTCTCAATCAAGTTATGATTTAGTCTACTGAAAATATTATTTTTTAAAATAAATTTATTATATTTCATAATTAACTTGTCAGGGTATTTCAGATATAATCATAATTTCACATATTATTAGGAAGTCTCTGTTTACTATTTTCCCTTACTTAAAAACCAAGTCCCTTCAAGATGATAAACAGTAGGAAACGCCCAAAGAAACAGAAAAGGTTAGCGTTAGCGTGGAACGACGGTCCCAGGAGGATCATCAATCTTAATCGAGTCCCCTAGTAGCGGCATCCTCCAAAATCGTAAGAGGCTGGAGAGACGTAAAACCTAAACCCCGGACGATCGAGCAAAGCTTACCGGCCACACCGTTGCTTGTACGAAGGACATAATCGTTATAGCCTGCATTGAGGTGTTCGAATCGTAATCGAGAGGGCAGAGAGGATTCACGAAGTCAACAATTGCTCTCATATGACTCAACCTACCCCTGATATCATTTTCTTGAACTCTTCGTTGTTCCCAATTTCCCTTCTCCATTGATCCCGATACCGTTGTTCCTCTCAAAGCTTTCATCCCATTCCTTCCATACCACTCCGCTATCTCCTACGTTGCCTTTCTCGAAAGGCTCCGACTTTATTTGATTCCGACGCTGTCGCACTGCTGGTATGTTGTTCTTTGTTTTTCTCCGACTGTGTTGGTAGTGAAAAACCCTAATTGGCCATTGGTTGATTCTTTTTTATGTTCTCTGTCTGCTAGGTTTTCTTGATTTTGAATTCGAACGCTGATTTGGGGTTGAGGAGCAATGGCTATTGCGGCCCCTGGGCAGCTGAACCTTAATGAGTACCCTTCATGGGGATCCAGAAGTGTTGATTGCTTCGAAAAGTTGGAGCAGATTGGCGAGGGAACTTATGGGTTAGTCTTAACTTCTTTCTCTTTGTTTCCTTCTTGCAGTGTGACTATATTTGTTGATTTTTGTTTCTGTTTTAGTTTTGCAATGATTCATACTCGAATTTCTTAAACATATGTTCCAATTTTGCTTTTCATGTAGGTATGATGTGGTTATGGTTGTCGGCAACAACTTATGTTTGATCATAATATCGTTTTTCTTATTTCTTTGGGCGACTCACCTGGGAGCTAATAAATGTATATTGTTTAAACTTCAACTTACCAGACATATAGTCATTTGTGGATAATAAGAGCTAAAATTTGTTAGTTGGCTGGTAACTATTGTTGTATAACTGTCTATTATGCTGATCAGTACAGAAGCTCTAACCTCAATTTACTTACCATATAGCAGCACTGACAAGACCTCTTATATAGTGCATAATGATAATGGAGAAACATAACGGGTGAAATAAAACGAATGCATTGGCAGTTCATAGCTTACCAAAGTCTTGCTGATAATGTATTTATGTCACCCATGAGGGGTGAAAGATCCAGCTTTGGCCCTTTTGATGAGGAAGCCCAAACTCCTGTAACTTATCAAGCACCTAATGATCTATGTTTATCTAATTGTTTTTCGCCCAGTGCCACCTTCAGATAAGCTTTTTTCCCTCTCAATTGGAATGGCATTTGGAGATTGTGAACACTCTTCCTTTTTAAATCTAGATTGCTTGTAAAATTTCTGTAGACACGTATGTCACCTTAAAAGGTCAAAAAGGGAGCAAAATTTAAAACACTTGAAATTCTTAACGGTCTTATCTTATGACTTATTTTTAAGTTTGTTTCTGAATTTTTGAATCATATTTATTATCGTTAGTATTTTATCTATATTATAAGGATGTGCATATGTAACATTTTTATATTTCAAGCTAGTTTTCAGCTGTCATTAATTCTTATAGTTCGATATGTTTTTATTATTCAAATTTAGACGTGTGTTTTCTGAGTCGCAATACTTATTGTGATTGGACTCAAACTACAGAATTGGTGCAAGTGTATGCGACCAGTTATATATACTATTGGACAATGGCTTTGGTTTTTTTTTTTTTTTGGGGGGGGGGGCAACAATCCTTGATAGGGTTTCTCTTTCAAAGGGTTTTGAAGATCGTACCAATTGCTTTGGTTTTTAAAATTTTTTTCCTTCAGAATTTCATTTTTTCCTTACCTCATCTGGAAGTTTGTTTCTGATTTCTTCCAAGATAATTAGAAATAGCTTTTACTTATCACCACCCATTTAATTTAATTATTTAACCCAAAATAGCGAACATGAATTTTGCTGTATTATGTCTCAAAAATTGTAGATTTGGAATTGGAAGACGCCAACTTAGGTGTAAGAATTGCAAATTGGGTTCATTGTGACAGATGTTCCCTGATATTAATGAAGTCTTGAGTTTCATTTGTCATTAATATAAGCAGCCGAAGGTTAAAAATTTAAATTCTAATTTTACAAATATAAGAATAGCACTTTTGTGAGGTTATTAGCAGTTAATAGGTATGTATACCGTTATCTGCAGCCATCAAACCAGTTTTTATAAAGATTTTTTTTGGCCATTTTCTTTTTTTCTGAATTCTAATCAGCATCCCTTTTTTTTTTTTTGCGGGACTCAGTTCCCCATTACACGACATACTTGAATTGAATTGCTAGAAACTTTTAACTTTCTTTGCGAACATGTCTTGTCTTAAGTTTCCCTTTTAAGACATATGCTTGAGTTATAGCCTGCTGGTAGAGTTGTTAGCCTATTTCTGTTCCAAAAAAATCTTGTTTCTGGGTGTATCCTTCATTGCTGATGCTGCAAGAAGGAACTGATCCATACCTTTGTGCTTGCAGCCAAGTTTACATGGCTAGAGAAATCAGAACAGGTGAAATTGTTGCTTTGAAGAAAATAAGAATGGACAATGAGAGAGAGGGGGTATCTCTTTGATCGCCTTGCTGAATGTTATTTACTCTACTATGGGGGTTTTAGATAATTTTATTTACGATCTAGCTG